ATTTTATACGCTGCAAAGAGTAAAAGCAGCTCAGTAGGAAATTTTGTTTCTGTAAATTTATTACTTTCTTTTCAACATTTGAACATGTTCCATTATGAGTACAATTTTGTTTAAAATGCTTATTCAAAGTTTAAGAAACATTAGTTGAATGGCACAAATTCTCTCACCTATTGCACCAAAGAAGGAAATCAAGTAGATGACACGGATTGCTCTTTGTCTTAGCTTGTGATCCTCAGGCACCTCAATATCTTCATTGCTAGATATTTCGCTTAACCGGGATTTCGTCATGTAAATGTCTGAAGATCAATTAGAATTTTTAAGACATGATGCTAAGATTAATTAGCACCTTTTGGGACAGCATGTAAAAGTTTACGTATAAAAATTCTTTTTTACTATGTTTAGAAAAGTGAAATATCAAGTAATACCAATGTTATTGGAACATAAATCATAAAAATAAGAAGAATTTATGATTGCTGCCAACTAAAACTAATATCCGGATTTAAGAGTTGTTTTCATTAAATGCTAATAACCAAAAAGCTCTCACGAGAAAGAGTTGCTTAATCTTAAACAGGCCATTTAAAATCTTTTTATATCATCAATAATGAGAATATTTCATCATAATTCACAAATACAAATAAAAAGGCTCATCAAATCTATTTCTATAGAGATAGCTGACATTGCAAAGCTAGGGAAAAAATCCGTATTGAGGAAATTTGAAACCTTTCCGCTACAATGGCCTTCTTTCTCGTCATACACAAATAAATGATATTGAGTGTCAGTCGAATTGTCAGTCAATGTAATAGTGGTTTTTCAATCAAGGAAAATGTTGTTAATGAGCAAATAGAACTAAAAAAAATTCTTTCTCTGTGTGCACCTTTCATTTTTCTTCATTAAAGGCTCTTCCTCCATGATAAAAATTTTCTTTCATTCCGTCTTTCTTGTTTAAACAAGTGCTTTGGGCATGTTCAATATAATCTGCTGAAGGCGATATAAAACCTCATCCCATTAGAACGATTTCCAATGCGGTTCAGAAAAATAAAAGAGATCGCTTGGACTGAATAGTTAATGGACAAGTATATGATAAAAGGAAAGGTTGCAATTGCGCAAATATCAGACAATCACGAGAGAAGACAAGTGTCGTGCTAGTTTTATAGTACAACTTTATTAAAAGTTTCATTTGAGATAATATCTCCAAAAACTCTGTTTTATTCGTCCATCTGGGATTCCATTGATGGCAAGCTAAGCTAAACTAAGTCAGAGGTAAAATTTAATTGATTATATGCTTAATTTACTTTAGCACTTAGCAATTAGTTCCGCCCGTGCATTACTGCACATCGGACAACAAGCAACCGCCATCCATGTCGTTCCCGGGCTTCCTCTTGAGCATCCTCCCATGACACGTCCAAATTCCTCAGATCATTCTCCAACGCTCTTCTCCAGGTGTTTCGAGGTCGTCCAATTTTACGTCTTTCATATGGTGGTATCCAGTGCTTTGCGTTCTTGGGATTACGGACTTCATTCATTCGGAAGGCATGTCTCGCTATCCTCATTCTTCGTTCTGCAACATTTGCTTATAGTCGTTTCATTTTTGATTTTTCAGGTCTTGGTAACACGATCAGGATAAGAGATGTTCAGAATAAGTCAAAGACATCGCTGTTAGAATACGTTGAGTTGGTTGCTAATTTTCGATGTGTGTCTCCATCTTTCTGCCGCATAGAGAACTGCTGGTACCACAATAGAGCTAAATAGACGGAGTTTAACAGTGATGTCCATAGTTGGTGCTGTCCATATTGGTCGTATTCGCTTGAAAAGGGACCATGCTTTTCCGATTGGTACCGTCACGTTCTCATTGCTCCCACCATCCTTACCCAAAACAAGGCAAGTAAACTGTTCGACTCCCACGAATTCCTCTCCAGCCACCGTTATTCCAACATTTGTGACTCAATTCACATTCATATAGTCTTAGTTTTCTCTGAGCGGATAGGTAACCCAACTTTAGCGGCTTCCCTTTCTGGGTTTGTGGTCATTTTTTGGAGTGCAGGTATCGTGTTAGCGAGCAAACCTATATCATCTGCGAAATCAAAATCTGTGAGTCGTTTCTGGTTTTTCCAAACAATGCAAAAATTGTGACCTTCCATCGCAAGTCTCATAACGAAGTCTATTACCAATATGAACAGGAAGGGCGATAGGAAAAGACCCCTGGCGCACGTCTGTCTCGATACTGAAGAAATCAGTTTTGCCAGATTCAGTCTTGACACAGCAAGTCGACGCATCATACAGATTTCTAAAGATGTTGATAAATCATGGGGGAATTCCATAACAGGATGCAATTTCCCGTTGACTTCAGTGTTTGCAGAATCAGATTCAGAATCAGATTCAGATTCAGATTCAGATTCAGATTCAGATTCAGATTCAGATTCAGATTCAAATTCAGATTCAGATTCAGATTCAGATTCAGATTCAGATTCAGATTCGGGTGGGTTCGCGAGTAGGTTGAAGGTTTGAAGGACCGCCCAGTCGTCTCAAATATAACAGAAAACAGAATCTCATTCCTATTACAGATATCAACATACAAGTAGCTACTATTTAGAGCAAAAATCATTTGAATAACTTTTCTCATCTTTCTGGAAAACGTGGTTTATACCGACCATTTGCTACTTTGCGTAAGGGGAAAACCTATCGACGCTCACCCCCGTCTCCAATACAACTAGAAACAGAATCTAATTCATATTACAGTTATCACCATACTAATAGCTATTATTACAACAAAAATCTGTTAAATATCTTTTCTCGTTTTTCTGGAAAAACGGAGTTTATACCGACCATTCGCTGCTCTGCGTAAAAAGAAAAAACTTATCGACACTCACACCCAGAGGCGGATCCAGTTTATAGCAACCTATGCAGTAGCATAAGTTAGTTTTTTACTACAAAAATGGAAAATGGAAACTATCGAAATTTTCAATAAATAGTTTCTTTGGTAAATTCTTTAGCAACGTCCGTCCTAAATCTGCCCCGGTTGATACCAACAACATGCAGAAGACAGGGCATTTGTTTAGCTGACTGTCTTTCGGTCCTCTACAAAATAGTCGAGTGACGATTCTAGGCAGTTATCTGGTCTGTATTTTCTGAATCTAGAAACTTATTTGTCCCTCGAGAGCCAATCACTCCTTGCTTGACCTATGCACAGTGCTGAGGCAAGGGGGGGGGGAGGAGGGGCGTCACTGACCCGGGGGCCCACGACCTTATTGGCCCACAGATAATAACCTAATCAAAAGTTGATAAGCAGCAATTCAGCTTCTCCATTATCAAAACCTTTCAATACTGGAAACAATAGTTGCAAAAGCCTTTAAAATAAAATAAGATAGAAGTAATAGTATTAACCCCATTTATGTATCTTTAACAGAGCTAGTAGCTTTCGGTAATTGTCTAGATAGTTAAAAAAAACAATTTTCAAGACTTTGCATCTGTAAAAAGGTTAATTATTGAGCTAAAGTCAAGTTTTTTGGCAATTTCAGTTTGCATGGACATTGAAATCAGTGAGTTAAGCCTGTTTTGATCAATTGTAAAGCGAAAATAATACTTTATGAATTTGAGCTTACTGGACGATATTTCGCCTGATGCAACACTAGAAGGCAAAGTCAGAAACAAACTTAATGCAATGAAAAGATTTGGAAATAAGCGTTGCAAATTCAAATGCTTAAGCTTGTTCACAGATAAAACTGAACTGATAGTCTGGAGTCCTTTGCGTGGATGATAAAACCTGAAGGGGCCAGTTATAGACATGCCTGGGAGAGACAATGTGCCTGAGGGATTTTTTAACTTTGAATTTTAGGACATCTTCTTTGGCTCTACTAGCCGCCAAGAGCCCTAACAACCAGTAACTTCAGTTGTTTAATCAATTCTTCATACTACAGTTATACTGTTATTTCTAGTCACTTGCAGTCGTGGATGCATAAGATACCAAGAAAAAATGCTAAAATAAAGTTCATGCAAAGCTGAAACTAAGCAAAATCCACTCTTTCGGTGTTACCGAAACATGCTACCAGAAATAAAATGATATAGAGACCTTCTAAATTATCTGATAAGAAAAAGCAAAAAGATCTATTACATTTCCTATTTTGACAAATCCAAAAATAATTCGAAAAAGGTTTGATCTTGCACTAATGATATCATTGAAAAGCAGAAAAAGCACTCCAATGACCTTTGCCTTTCAAATAATGGTAAATTGACCACTAATAATAAAATCATAGCAAACTGTTTCAACGAATATTTTACAACTGTTGCACAAAAAATAGATGACAAAATGACCCCCCTCCCCCCCCACCAAGAAGTTTAAAGATTATCTTAAAACACCAAACCCAAGAAGCTTTTTTATTCAATCAGTTACACCTCAAGAAGTTACTGACTTAGTTGCCAACTTAGACGAAACTAAAGCCAATGACTCATATGACTTACCCGTAAAACTCATGAGGTACACAATTTCATTGCCTTTCAAGCATCAATAATTTTATTTTCAAAGAATAATTTTCAAGCATCAATTTGGATTTCAAAAAAGTAAATCAACAACATTGGCAATCTTAGATCTCTGCACAAAGCTAGTTGAAAACATTGAAGGAAAACGTTTTTCATGGTGTATATTTCTAGACTTCTCTAAAGCCTTTGATACAGTCTTTAATCATGGTATCCTGCTAGATGAGCTCGAACACTATGGAATAAGAGGAAATGCCCATTCTTGGTTTAAATTCTACCTTACAGAACGAAAACAAACTGTCTCAGTTGATGGCAAATTGGCAAAAGATCTCTCTATTAACTGTGGAGTTCCACAAGGAAGTGTCTTGGGTCCACTTCTCTTTCTGCTATACATTAATTACATCAACATTTCTTTACAAAAGCAGGATTTTCACCTCTTTGCAGATGATATAAGCCTTCTTTTTTTACACAAAAACCTACAAACCTTAGAGAAAAAGGTGAACTCAGAATTAGCAAATATCTCCGATGCTACTGGCCAGTAAACTTTCCTTAAATGTATCAAAATCAAATTTTCTGATTATAAATCCGCATCAAAAAAGGCCTGATAAACCTATTGTCTTTCAAATTGATTACGAAAAACTAGTACAAAAAGACTACACTAAATATCTTGGCATAATCATTGACAAACACTTAAATTGGAAACAACATATTATGCAACTAAATATTAAAATCTCAAAGAGCATTGGCTTACTATACAAAACAAGACAATTGGTACCTCAAAGCACACTATGTACAGTCTACAAATCGTTTATCCAATCTCACATACTTTGTGGCATACTAAACTGGGGAGGTGCTTATAAAACTAATCTGGAGCCATTAATATCTACCCTTCGCGGAGCGTTAAATACCAATCTCATAGTGAACCACTTTTCAAAAAACATAATCTTCTCAACTTTGATAACATGTATAAACTTGAAGTTGCTAAATTCATGTTTGATATCTATCATGAAAGCAGTAATGACCTATTCAACAACCTGTTCATTAAAAGAAATATACGTCATCAGCATGAAACAAGACAGTCTTCAAATGACAACTTCTCTTTCCCTTTGGTCTTGACAAAGTATAAACAAAAGTCAATTGTATATGAAGGAGTCAAATTTGGAATTCCCTGCCATTGCAAATTAAAAAGTTACCGAAAAAGTCATCTTTCATCAAAAACCTGAAAAATTATTTTTTAAAGTCAAACTGACATACTTATTTGAACCCGATTATGAACATTATCATTAAACATATATTACCACCATGCATCTCACTATTGTGTTTTTAGTACAACCAATTTACATCTCTTATTATACTAACCCTATATTTTCATGATGTTCCTTCCTTTTGTTTTTCCTTCACATTCTTCTCTTGAAATCGGTCACCTATACACGTCAAATCGGGCATATGACCTAGATAGCTCCTTGTAATTTCTTTTCATATGTCCGACAGCGAACATACTAGACTTCGAACTACCTACTGTATGTAATTTTCCTTTTTTGTAAAAAGCTATTTGTTACTTGTGGTTCAAGTATTAAATATAAATGTAGTAGTTAATTATTGCTGTGAATGAAATGTTTTGAGTTGAGTTGAGTAGATATAGAGTTATTGTGTAAGATCTCAGAACTCAAAAGTGGACGCTATTTTGCAAACTTTACAAAACTCTTTCGCAACAAAAAGAACAGTCTGTATGCAGGCTTAAATCGAGAAACTTACTTTTAATAGAAGCTAAACCATAAAAATAGATGTAATAAAACCTTTTTAACAATTCTCTTTAACCTGTCCGATGTTTTCAGTCGACTGTATTTTTCTTGTTTGTTAGCATGCATCATAAGCAAAAAGAGTCACGTCTATTTGTCAAAAAGGCAGAACAGAACTAATAACCAAACGCAATTCAACAAAAACAGTCAACGAAATGTCTCGTATGGTAAATTCAACATTCACAATTCCTGCCCCCTCAAATGCTGGGCAACAACAGGCTTTATTCGAACAATTCTTAGATGTTGAAGTGCAGCGTTCTCTAGGAGACAAAGGGGTTGCAGCTAACTCCCATCCATTAGGAAAATTGTTTTTGAATTCAGGACCACTCGTGCAATTTTATTTCATTGAAGCAACATTATCCAAGGAGGACTTCTACTAAGCCCTCCCTAAACGATTAGCCTCCGGTACAGGCATCTGGTTAATTTATTGTTTCTGGCCTATTTTGGCAGCATAAGCGAGCAGATTTCTAAGGCATACACTATTTTCCTCAGAACACATACTTTAAGAGCTCCAAGGAAATATTTTTTTATTTGAACGACAGATTGAGCATCAAACATTGAAAGAAAAAACGGCTTTTTTGGAAATGGCTCTCATGTTAACAAAGTCATCTATATCATAATTTAACACCATATGTAAAATACCCTTAAATTTAGAAAACTGCATTTTCATATTAAAGTTATACATGCTGCTAATAAAAAAGATCCATTATAATTGAACTATATATTGTGACTAAACAAGCAAAATTGAAGCTACTTCAGAAGCTTTGTCACTAATGACGATTTCTTAAATTGCCTAATAAAACTTATTATCAGGTATGCCATACCCTCAATGTTTCTTTTTATAAAATTGCTTGACTGGATTTTTTTATAAAAATGCTCGATTAACAATTCAATTCTTTTAAGAACATATCTTTTCTGGGGAGCTTTGGAGCCATGACAGTGCTAGTATAGGACATACCCTATCTTGGGGACATATACATTGGAGTCACGACTTTTGTCTTAGTGGTTAAATGAATTTTCTTTTCCTTCAGAAAAGTCAGATGGCATTCTCCTGTATACAGAATAGACGGGGAGCAGGAAATTCGAGTTGGTTGATTTTTTCCAAAATCCCAATAAAAAAGCGCCTAACGTCTTAAATAAGGGGGGTTTGGAAAAATTTACCAAATTATACTAAATGGGCTTAATTCCTACCAGCCCTTTAAACTTGAAAACAGAATGAATAAAAACAATGAACTGGTTTCTTAAAATAGCAAAACGTTTATATAAAATAACTATGAAATAGGAGTATTCAGTTCTTAAAAATGTCTTCACTTTCTCTTTTTGTTCTCGAAGCAATTCTGTTTACTAGGAAGTACTTCGTTGTATACAACTTGCAAGTTCTTAATACATGAGGTTAATAATTTTATTACGGACACGAGAGTAAAAGATGAATCACGATCAAAGTAGTTCATTTTTGCCTTTGTTTACTCCTAGTTTACATTCGGCATATTCTTCAAAAGGCACTAATCTGTTGAAGAAGTAGCTAACAATGACGATGCAAGCTGCCACAATAGCGGCTATTGTGATGAAGACGTATCTTGGTCCGTAGGTTTCATAGATGCATGTCATCACCAATGGTGTTACGATTCCCGAAACACATGAAGAGCCAGATATAATTGCACTGTAGAAGCTCTTTGAAAAAATTAGCGTTTGAAAACCATTAATCATTGCTAAAGATGTAGAATGATGTTTAAATATAAATTCATATATATGTATGCATATATAGATATATATATAAATAGATACTCAATGAAAAAACAACTTGGTTGACGTTTCGCTATAAGCTTCTTCAGAATTTACCAAATTTACCAAATTTACATTGATTCCGAAGAAGCTTATAGCGAAACGTCAACCAAGCTGTTTTTTATTGAGTATCTATTTATATTTTTAAAAAACTTTAGAGTTAGGAGCTATTGAATATATATATATATATCTATATATCATAGAGTTGAAGAAAGTAAAACTACATGGTTTATCTCTACAGGAGATCTCCTGAAGAGTGAGTTACTCACGAAACAGGCTTGTAGAGATAAACCATGTAGTTTTACTTTCTTCAACTCTATGATATATCACGCTCTACGTGCTAACGTATTGAGCACTGTGCTACGGAAGTATCAAAAGACAAATTTCCATATATCTATATATATATAATCATAAGGCAAATGCTGACAGGAGGAAAATTCTTTCCATAAGGGTGCTGCCCAATTGTATCGAACCACTCTTGGTCGGAATCGAACTCCAGTTTGCTGCTTCAAGTTTTCTTTATGGTCTATCAGAGTTACGAATGCTTGTCGTTCTACCATACGTTCTGTTTGGTCTTGAATGTTGAGTTCAGTGGCAATGTCCCGTGCTTCATTGTTCATTGTGTGGATGGCGCTGTCATTTGCTGTCTTGTAGGTTGTGGTTATGCTGTTAGTTAGTAGTTTGTCATGTTGTTCACTATCCAGTTTGTAGTAGTTGGTTGTTTTGTCAGCGGGGATGAAGGCTTTCGTGGAGGCGTTGATCTTTTTGATGTCTTCGTGTAGCTGGTCTTGAAATTGGTGGTGTGTTTTCATGAATTGGATGTGCTTGATCATGTTGAGTAGATCGGACTCAAATGCGTCTAGGTCTTCGTTTTGTGGGGGACATTTTTTAGATTTGAATCCGAACGTTTTGTTTTGATCCTCGGTTTGTTGGTCGTCTTCGTTTGGTTTTTCATGGAAGAAGGCTATCCATCTCATACACTTGATGACAATTTCACTTTTTTCGATAAGTTTCTTTATGTAGCTGTTTCTTGGCGGTATCGGTATATTCTTTATTGAATGGTTGAACCTTGTTTGTTCCATATCTTGCGTTTCACATGTATATATAAGGCCCCAAACCCCTCCCCCCAAAAAAAACTTTCCTTGCAACTTTTCGAGTATATTTTTGTTTTATATTGCAACAATATAATTCAAATACTAAATTTTCTTCTAAATAACTGTGTGTGAAATTTCATTTTGTAGGCACTTTAAGCCTTTTGAGAAAGCATCCAACCTGTAACAGTGAATGAAAGGTTTGATTTTTATTGAATGTTTTCAAAAAGTTCAAATTTTGGAAAAATCGGCATTGGCTAGAGAACCAAAAAGTCAATGTTTTTATGCAAATTGTTCAATATAAGATTGCAGGGAGACATTTATCGCTGAAGCTGATTTGATAAGAACTTTAATGTAATGTAATCTTTGTTTTTTGCTCTATTCAATATTCTATTTTATTAAGTTCGCTTTATAATATGGTGGTATTACAAAGATTTGTTAAGTCATACCTGCTTTCTTGGGCCAATAACTTTCGAATACAACCCATTTATTATTAGAAATGACAACGTGAAGCCAACAATAATTATCAATTCTGCAACTACGAATTGCGCGAGGTGTATTTTAGGGGCATTTTTGCACCACTGGAACTTTGGCGGACACCCTGCTTTCCATATTGTTTTCATCACATTCCCAAGTTTTGTTTGTTCTGAAAAAGATAGCGTTTTTTCAAGACAAGACAATCAAATATAGATATAAACGATGAAAACCTGAATAACCAGTAGTTCATTTGTATAATCTGCATAACCACGTACAAACAATAGACCATTAGATTAGAAGATCGTGAGATAGCTCACCTGTTGTTTGTAGAGTTGGATGTGTGTTTCCCCAGGGTAAAAATATGATAAACCCTAGCAATGAAATTGTGCACCCTAGCAACATTATGCTTCTCTCGGCAAGCCTAGGTAGAAAAAAAGGATGTCAGTTTGAAGGAAACATTTTTGTTGATGAAATGACAGGAAATCCAAGGAATTCTTAAGAAAAAAACAACTCATTGTTTGAACTGATTTTTAAGATTATTGCAATGGATTTAAAAGAGATGATAGGCCTTTTTGGTGTATAGTCTAAGAACAAATAATATTTACAACTTGTTAAAACGTAAATAATAATGTTGAATTTGCTGTAGTTAAAAAGATATCTAGTAGTATATAAAATTATCCAAATCTTTCTTTCTGATTGTTGTTGAGCTATTGAAGCTTGCTGCATTTTCTTTCTTTAGAATGTTTTTAGAGGGTCTTTTTGAAATTTTCGTAGTTTTTATACTCTTTACACCTTCAGGCAGTAAGTTCCACTGTAGCGCCGATCTGTATTTAAATGTCTTTTTTCCTTAATGTAGTCTATAAATGTTGTATCAATATTGTATAATAGCAGTAATATTTTATCGATATTGCACTTAATAAGCAGTCAAATTTAGTCCACTGACGTTATTACAAAGTATTCCATCAGAAGATCGATTGAACTATTGGCTGCAACATACAAAATCTAGATAAAGAATCCTATAAGCGATTTTCTGGTTAAACGAAAAACCCACTTTGTCTAATAGGTCGTAAATGTTTGGTTATCATTTTGTGCAAACTCGTCTACGTAACATCAATCAAGGCAAACTTCTGTTTATATAAGTTGAATTTGTTTGTGTTTTAAGCTGTAGAACTGTTGTTTTGACCCCCAATAATTGCGTTTTGCCTCAACGACTTAATTTGCGGTTTTTGTTTGTTAGAATGGGTTGATTTGCAACGAAAGCATTTGACACTTACTCAAGTTTTTGAGCAAAGAATGGGTTGATTTGCAACGAAAGCATTTGACACTTACTCAAGTTTTTGAGCAAATATTTTTTATAAACAATAAAAGTGCCAGGGTAGCACAAAAAGCTTCAAAATTGACGGAATAGGAGCAACTAACCGGTTTGAAGTGCATCTTATTAAAGATAGCGAAAAAAGTGCAATTGGTCCAACGGAAGACAGCAACAGGCCAGCATAGAAAACAGCTTCTGACTTCGTAAGCGCCAGCTCACTTTTCATTAGTGGAGCAGTGAACCTATGGAGATTGCATTAGCTAGAAGTTTTAAAGACTCATTGCTAACAATGAGCCATTGCGCTATGTAAGCATCCCACAATGCATTTTTAGACTGTCTAAAATCAATCTTGGTTAGTCCGTAGAAAATTACTGCCATTGTTTGGACCGTCGCCACGCTCGCAAAGGCCCATTGTTAGCATTGAGTCTTAAAAGCATTCTTCAAGAAACAGATGCTAGACACAGAAACAGCTAATCATAAATTTCTATCTATGCATATCCTTAGATGAAATCTAAGAAAAGTTCTGAGAGCAACAAAATATCTTTGAACATTGCAAGTCACAGCATATCAACATCTTGCCTGAATATATGCAATGGATAAACTTAATTCAAACAAGTATAGTATATTGCTCTAAAGAGGATATAGATCATAAAAAGATTTGAAATTATTGAAGTAAAAGTAATGACTATGCTCCAATATATGTATTAATAAAAGTCTAGCCAGAATCTGATGACAAGAGTGGCGTTGAGAAATAAAACATTTCGTTTTACTAAAGTTCATTTTCTGACACTCTTGTGTGTATAGAAGGTCAGAAGGTTGTTTGAACTTTTTAAGCTATGAAAATTACACACCTGAAATAGTACAATCAAATATAGTTCTTGTAGATAGGAAAGATTTATCCAACTTACGTTTCTATTGATGAAAATACCATATACATGACAAAGTAAGTCAATGAGATTATCAAGAGGGCAAAGTTGTCCGGCTTTTGCAATTTCTCTACAAAAAGAGGCGAGGAACAATTTAGTAACGATTATGTAATGTTAAGTAACGAACATATCATATCATATCATATCATATCGTATCGTATCGTATCGTATCGTATCGTATCGTATCGTATCGTATCGTATCGTATCGTATCGTATCGTATCGTATCGTATCGTATCGTATCGTATCGTATCGTATCGTATCTTATCGTATCGTATCGTATCGTATCGTATCGTATCGTATCGTATCGTATCGTATCGTATCGTATCGTAACGTAACGTATCGTATCGTATCTTAGTCTTTTTACTTGTAGTCTATGTTTTTGTACGGAAACATTATGAAATGACCTTTTAATGCATCTTCTCCTTCTCCTTTTATGACCTTCGTATAACCGAAGTTGTTCCAGCTAGCCACCTCTAGAATATTGTTTGAATCAACCGTTCTGGGAATGTTCTTTATCAATTTGGTGCTCTTATATGGTGAATCTCAACTTTCTGGAATTTGCTGCTTGTGCCAATGCCCCATACAGTCATTGCATATGTGTATATTGGTATTTCAGTTTTAAAATGAATGTCCTCCAACACTTTTCTTGGCAGGAATTCGACTTTTTTCAACATGGACAACTTTTGTGAGAATTGCTTATACATCTTATCTATGTGTGTGTCCTAGTTTAGTTTGTTGTCAAAATACACTCTTATATTCAATTATATTATTTCTAATAGATATTGGTAATAGGGGCCCCGTAAACCTCTTTCTGTTGATTATCATTGCTTCAGCTTTCTTTCTATTAATGGTAATCTTATTTTCTTGGCACAATTTGTTTTTTGTCTTGCCAGCAGATTCAGCTTGTTTGCACAATCAACTACTGATTTTGGTATGATGTATGCAGTGATGTCATCTGCATACAAATGCACTTCCCCATTGTTGACACTATCAGCTATATAATTTATGTAGATAGCGAATAATCTAGGGCCCAATAACGACACTTGTGGGACAACAAACTCTACTGCACTCATTTTTGAGGTTACATCATTGTTTTCTACATATGCCTTTCTTCCATCTAAGTAGCTATCAATTAAATTGTACAATCCTCCTGTTATCCCTGCTACGATCCTTTTCTCCTGTATGTCCTGGTCTACAGAATCAAATGCCTTGATAAAATCCACAAAAGTACACCTACTCAGGGGCCTCACTTCATACTTTTTATTGACGGGGATGGCTGCATATTTGCCCTGAAGAAAATATTTTGCCCTGGAGAAAAAATTGGAAAAGCTGGGAACTGGCCCTTAGTTCCCGTAAACCTAAAACACTTCTTTAGGGGAAATTTTTCCCGCTTAGGTCCTTGCTCAGCGTGTTCACAAGTTCACCGATCACCGACGTATTTGCCTAAGCTTGGGGAGTGAGGAAACCCTCGACTCGAACTGCATGCGCTCATTTCTTGCAACGCACTCTTGATTAGCATTTCACAGGATGAGGGTATCAAAGCTTCCCTCAATGCCATCAAAAATCATTGTGGGGAAGCTACCCTGCTGCATAAAAAATGCAACTGATATTTGCTATATTTGCTACATATATTTGCTATACTACAACTAAGCTCTTGTGCAGCAATCTTGAACTCTTTTATTGTTATCTCATCAGGTTCACTGACTTTCATGGGGTTCAGTTGAATCATCTTTTCTGTTAACATGCCATTCGTTATCTTCAGTTGATTTATCGTTAGCGTGACTCTGTAAATAAACAGGCATTAGATTTGATGCTAGGTTTTTACATACAGTAGCAATAAACTCATTCATTGTTCCTGCTTTCCTTTTATCATCAAACACTAATATCCCGGATTCATTTTTATGGGACCTATCCTCTTCAGTTTTAATTTCTCAGTTTTGTGACTGTTCTTATTGTCTTCCAGAAATCTGAGCTTCCTTGTG